CACAAGGATGATTTGACATTGGTTTTATGAACTATTTCATTTGAAAACAACAAAGTAAAGCTTTTGATTTTCTGTTTCTGAAAACATTGAAGCCATTTTTGATTTCGTTTATATTTAACGTGTGATTTCATGTATATGTGACTGTTTCCAGGTGACATCCCTCTTCACATAACCATCAGAGAGACATCAGACAGAGGACAGCCAGTGGTCATCTCTTCTCCCAACAGCCCTGAGGTCTCTGTTTGAATCTATTCTATTCTGTTTTGCTCTTCTATTTTTCAAAAAAATAAATATTTATTTATTTTTTCTATTCTACCCCACATTTCTCTCTTTTGTTTTCTCATTCTTATTTTATAAATGAACAAAATAGTATGAGTAAAACTTCAAACTTTGTCGGTAAACCACTCACTGAAAGCAGATAACACAATACAACAAAAATATAATATTATGTCCTAGTTATTTATTCTTCAGCTTCAGTAGAAATCTGTTCATATACCTGCTCAGCTACACTCCAGCACTGACGTGTAACTTGATTTTATTTTCACTGTCCAGGCAGCAGCATACAGGAAGGTGGCGTCTGCTGTGGTCCAGAGACTACAGAAAGTCAGCTGACAGACGGCTTCAAGATGAAGTCAGCCGGTGACGCATGAAGACATTGAATGACACGTATACAGAACACAGACTGACGCACAAAGTCATCTGCTGTCCAAAACGCACAAAAGAATGTCGATTCTTGCCCATGTTGTAACAGTATTTTTATTGTGTGTCCATGTAGTTCTCTGACAGCATTTCATAAAACGGTCAGCTACACAACCCTAGTCTTAACCCTTTCTGATCTGCTTGCATGCTGCTGGCCATAAATGGCAGCACATTAGCTGGATGCCAGTACAGTAAAGACAGTAATATAATAATTCCTTTGTCTTGTTTTCCTTTTCTTTTCCTGCGGACAAAAGTGTTGAATATTATTGTGTTAGATAATTGTCTGCATCATGATATACACAGTGATTTAACAGTCAATTTGAGTTTGTTTTTCTGGTGTGTTTTTGTCATTTTAGTGAGAAATCAAAGTAATAAAAGCATCAAGGATTTTTGCCTCTATGAAGTATTTCTCTTATTTGTATACAGAGATGGGCAGTAACGCGTTACTTGTAACGTTACTGTAATCTGATTACTTTTTTCAAGTAACGAGTAAAGTAAGGGATTACTATTGCAAAAACGGTAATTAGA